AAGAATCAGCTGTGCGGATGAGGGCGGAGTGCTGGAAATGGAGTCACTTGCTTCACGTACACGATGGGATCGGATGCGGTCCTGTTTAGGGCAGTTAGCATGATTTTCTGCCTTTTTCTTCACTATTGAGCTATTCAGGACCTTGTCGTCTATATGCAAGCCCCTAATCCACTCTATGTGATGGTGAATGATCGCGGGCTTTGCCTTTGAGAAGGGCTCCAAAGCTGTAAAGAGGGTTGCCGAAGTCGATGTCATGCAGGTGTATTTCTGGAATATCTTCCCCTTCATATCGGAGTTCCCTCGAGGTACGTTCGTGGCACTGATGCTTCGAGTATTGAGGCTGGAGCACATTGGAAATGGTCTTCACTTTGTCGTCTGTGGAAACTTCTCCTTAACCCAGCCCCTTACCTTTCCATTCGGAGCATCTTTCGTTGGCGGATAGAGAAATATCCCTCCATTTAGGATTGTGCGATGGATATCAGCCACCATTGATCCGACATAGCGCTGTGCCATTGACTTCTTGCCAGCCTGCAATTAGATGTTTTATTGTTAACAAAACAGCTGGAATAATACAGGCTTCGGGATCATTTTAATGGAACTATTTACACAATGTTGAATCATCACTGGAAATGAAAACTAGCGTACAGGTGGGAACTTCCTCTCATGGATATATTTAGCGAGTCCCTTGGACCAATGTTTTGCGTATCCTTCATTGATGCTGTAGATCTTCCCTTTTTCGGGCATTCGCATAAGAGGATGAGTGAGGATGAACTCGCCAATGCTCTGCAATGAATTAAATTACATAAAAGGTACTCGCGAGGCGGATTTAATTATAAGTTCAGGATTGTCAAGGAGAAACAGTACCCACAAAACCTGCGCGCGAGATTAATTGTGTTGATCGTGGTCGCATACAATAGGGAATACACGAATGTGTGCATTCACGACGCGACCTTTTCTTCGCGCGCAATTTTTGCGGGTACTGTACGCACCCTGACATCACGAACTTGTAATCATGTAAGAGACGGTGGCGAACATGGTTACATGCGAGCAGCCCTCAAGTGTTCGATTGGCTGATCACTAGCAGCTACCAATTAAAACCCTACAAGGCGACTCCTCTACCTCCTTAGTTTACACTCGTGCATCTTAAGTGGATAAATGAAGCAAGGTGATGAAATATTTACCGGATCAAGCATGAATCCATTCACACCATTTCCCGTGGTCAATACGACCATGGTTGCCGAACCATAAAGGCAGTAACCAGCTGCCACCATAGCGCTGAAGTAGACACAATAGCATAACTATTCCTCATGCAGTACACTATTGCTTGATTCACCTGCCCGGCTGCATGAAATCGTCCTTTTTCGCAGGAACCGAGTCATCGCTGGGTTTCCGCCAGATACCGAAAATCGAACCTGAAAGAGCATCCACATAAACTCCTTATCCCTGGGACGAAGTAGGCGTGGCACTTGAACAAGGCCCAGAATGCGTTACTGGTAAGATAATTCATTTCGAGACAACAGTCATCTTGTTCACGTTGGACAGAAACATTATTCCAAGTTTGTCGAACTGAAAATATCTTACCAAAAGCAAACCGCCTCACGCTCAGCCGAAGTACGAGGCCACGCCTATCATCTCAGGGATTCCGAGGGTAAAGACATGAAAATAGCCTAACCATGTACTACCCTGTTAATGAAAGCGTGTAATTTACCTATGGAAACCAAGCAATCGATATTCGAGGATCCATCGAGCGGATCGAAACATACAATATACTTTCCGACTCTCATCTTATCAACTTGGATTACCTGTAATATGTCTGCCACAATCATACCATCGTAGTGAGTTGAAAAAGGATTTGTCATGTAACATATGGAGGCATGGTCAGCTCAGGCGTTACCCCCTCTCTCTATTCGTTGAGTTCATAGACCACATCTTGACGATTGAGAAGCGTGTGCACAGAACTGATAGGGTAAAAGACACATCGGCGTTTTCTCATGCCGTCTGCGGCGTCATATGCATACAATATGAGTCTCTGCGAGCTGGCAACTGTCTATCGCCGATGTACTCTCGAAAAGGCCCGTGGACACTTCCGTCTGTGTCGATATGGAATCTTAATGAAACGCTCTGGTGCGCAAAGTTGACTAAAATGTGCATTACAGCTGTGGAATAACTGGTTTTACTTTGAAGACACGTGGAATTTCTTGCATAGATTTCAAACGCAAGCCATTCCACAACCCTGGAAGGATAGTGAAAGCGATGGAGAAGTAGGCGCATCGCGAAGACATCAAGCAGCGCAGCGTTTGTACCCGCACCGCGCTGTACAGGTCGCACGCTCGCCGCGCTCGTGGATTACACCACAGAGAATTCGGTCCATTTCAGTTCGAGGCATTTTTCACAAGCTGCGGCCCTGAGGAAACAATTGGCGAAAAGCAATAAATACGTATTGATCGCAGAATGGCCAACCGCTCTGAAGAAACGCCGCCCAGGGCACAGCATCGTTGTGTGAAACACAAGGGGGGGTCGTACTTTTGCTTGGGGGAGGGGGGTCGTATTTGTTGGAGACAAATTTATTTTGATAGTTGATTTGGATTTACTCTCCCCCCCTCCCCCTCGACAACTTTTTCGCCGACTATATACTCATGGCTCGGCGACTGGCGAAGAAGGTGTCGAAGGGTGGGGGGGGGTCGTACCCCACGCGAAAAAATAGGGGGGGGTCGTGGCCTGTACCCCATCAGGAGGGGGGGGGGTCGTACTCTCACCGACATTTCGCCTATCCCCATGCTGTACCCTGACGCCGCCGCCCTTTGGCGGGTTCAGGAAAATCAATGGATGCATACCCATTTCGCTGGTTCTGCGCTAGAGAAGTTGCCAGAAACAACCGAACAAGCGGTTTTAGCCCAACCACTTCGCCAAGGCCTATCGATGCGTAACAAAACCGTTTCGCGCGACCGCCAGTCTTCGCTCCACCGCCGATCGATACGTATCCGAAGCTTTCCGCCGAAGCATTTTTTTTTCTAGAGGAACGCTGATTTGCAGATTGTGAACAATGCCTGAGAGGCTGCGGCGCAGGACAGGGACAAAAGTTACATCAATTGAAATTTCTCATCGTTCTCCATAACAAGTCAATAGTGTCCTATAAAAGCTGCCTCAACATACGTCATCGTTCTCCTCTGAAACCATTCCAGCACACGTGTACGATGAGGAAATCATGTTGATCATCAGCTCATTGCTAAGAACGTCTAGCTTTTTGACCTGAATCAATCAATACGTTGTTTGAATCTTCGATGTTGATAAGCAGTGACATTTGTAATGGTACCTCCTCTCCTTGTACATTAGTATTGCCTGCGATACCATAAAGATTAGCCAAACCCGCCTTACGCACAGCACTCGAAATCGCCTTAAGTGAGAAAATGAACGTGAAAACCTTATAGCATTGCTTTGAGGCTACTTTTACATCGTCAGCATCACTGGATTTATGAGAATATTTCAGTCTATCATATATGCTATTATCAGCAACGTAAACTTCAGACTCCGTGAAGCACCACAAGAAGTATTAAACTGGGTCCAGCGCAAAAGCATAATATGCAGAGCAGTGCGATGGAGCGGCGATGTATGCACAATCTCTGAGGTGGACAAAATTTCAATGGGCAACAGCAAGTACACTCTAGTTCGCTGCGGACGGTTGGGCGTGTCAGGCAGTATGAGTGTGTCACCCCGTCAAAGCCGTTCTCTGCCTTCTTGTTGAAGCGCGCATGCGACAGTGGTAAAAAAAACGAGTAATACGAACGATATGATACAGTCATATCATTTGCTCGCTTTAACAACTGGTGGAGAACGGGTTTGGCACCGCGCCAAACTCATCCCGCCTGACACGCCCAACCGTCCGCAGCGAACTACACTATAGCATGATGCCGCGTTTTGATAAGGAACCCGTTTGAAAAATGACACAACATTCCCTAAAAGGTATGGCGTTTAACTGACTCGTAAATATAACCAGAATAGAAATTAGAATCGAGTTGAATCACCGTCTGATCCCACACGCGAAGGGATCATGGTTACATGCTGCAGCGTATGAAAACTGGTTGGGATTTAGTAACCTCGTCATCCGGGCAGTTGATTAGGGCGGTCGTCAACGGGCCGCAGCGCGTGCCAGGAACTATTTGCTTTTTCCAGGCTAATTTAGTCATTTTT